CGGAAAAACATTTTTTCATCTTCTGGTTCAGTCAATATATTTATAAAAATTTGGGTGACGAAAACAAACAGTTTAAAAATTTTAAAATAATAGGAACCCCATCTTTCTGTTTCACAGCATTCGAAGGTGTATTCGAAATAATAATTTGGTTTAACACGATAACGATAAAGTAGGGAAACAAAAAGACGAATTTTTACAAAGTTAAAAATTATCAGTGGTTTTATATTAAAAATTAAAAGCTTACAATTACTTAGTAAGATTAAAATAAACGTTTGATAAATCATTTAAATCCGTTTTATTTTTTTTTTATATGTATCATTTCAAGGATCGTTCTTTTGTTGAAATTTGGTTCATTTTCGAGAATTCTTACATTTTTAAAATGGAGAGTGCAAATTTTCTAACGCAGTGGAATTTTCATTATTAGTTACGATATACGATATATTATTTTTATGGTTTTTTATTCTTTCATGTAAATATTGTTTTGTTTGTCTAATTTAACTGGAAGTCTTTGTAATCAATTTTGGGCTAAAATTCGAGAAAATTGTTTTAGTTGTACTTTTCTTTTCATACAAAAGTCTATCGTCTTGTGTCAATTTCTGTTCGTGGTCTTTTCCACAAATTTCCATGGTTGAAATCTTTTTCTACCCTTGCGTTACAATCCCCCGTTGCATTGCCTATAGACTTTAGTTTCATATCTCAAAAACACTGCAAGTACTCTTACAAGGGGAAATACTTGTCTCTTGGTGTTTGTAATCCTGCCTTCAAAAAGTAGTTGGCACCTTTAAGGCGCCAGGTATCTGAGTTTTTGGTTTATGAAAAACTGTATAAGATCTGTTCCCTTAATGCTGATTCAAGTGCCCATTCAGAATATTCATTTTCATGTCGTTCGATTTTTGTTCGTCTATTCTTGGTATTTTGTTTTTCTTTTCTGGTGATTTGCCAGTCGATTCTTGATAATTGTTTTTATTTTTTGATATCCATTCAACGTTTTCTTCTTTATGTAGTTCGAATTCTTGGTCTGTCTACAGTTGGTATTTTGCTTTCTTTTCTGATGTCCATTTCGTATTTTCGGTTTCATGTCGTTCGATTTCTTTGTCCGCAGTTTCTTGGTATTTTGTTTTCGTTTCTGGTGTCCATTCAGTGTTTTCCTATATATTAATGTAATTTTTTTTTAATTTTAGTTGTGTCGTGCAATATTTTTCTTAGGACTTTTCGCCAATTTAGAATGCAACAGTGAAGAAGTTGGGATAACGACAGGTAAGAAAAAATTTGCCAAAACGTACGACTTACGGGGTTTATGAGTCTTCTCCTGAACATCAGGGTCAACTAGAAGAACTGGCGACTCGGCAGTTCCTGATGCTCAAAAATGTTATGAATCAATATAAGGAACTTAACGAAACTTTATTGAATTTAATGCAGCCACACCGAAATTCTGTATCGAAGGAGGAGGTGTAAAACGAGTGGTGATCTAGATAGATTGGACGCCTGCTGCACAGTCATTATTGATAAATAAAAAGCAAAATTTTTAGTTTTATCACACATCTTCTGAACTTGAATTTTATTGCAGTCTTAATTTCAGATGGTAGATCAAAGATATTGTAATTTTAAGTGTGCTATTATAATTTTGTATAAAAAGTTTCGTAAACTATTATGAGTATCTACAATTCCAATGTTCAAGTTCCTACCTTTAAAAAACCGATAAAAACTTTTACCCCCCGTTTCCCCCTTCAAATGTAAAAATCCAAAACCCTTAAACATTTCTATTTATGATAAGTATATATTATTATAAACATAATTTATGTTGCATAAACATTATAAACTAAGGAAATACAGTATGAAGTGATGCAAATAGCAGTTTTTATAGGGTAAATACTAAAAACTATTTATTTACGTTGGGTAGATATTTCTAATTATTATTCTAGTTTTCTACATTGAAATGTTTGCGTAGAAAAAAAATTATTTTTCTACACCTACAGGCTTATTTACGCACAGAATAAAAAAGGAAAAGTAAGCTATTGCGTTCAACTGAACGAATATATTTTATATCTATTCTAAGTAGTGAGAACACTGCAAAAAAAATCTGATGTGTCCAACACATGACTTTCCTATCTAGTTATTACAGGCTTTTTCCGGTTATTTTGTACAACCTATTGCAGCACCTCCATAAATGTTTAGAGGATAAAATAAATATATACATTTTCCACATACATCTACCTCGAAACATTTTTCTATAGATATTCATTGAAAATTAAAATACTGAAAAATTTAAATTTAGCACTTTTCCTACAATTTTTCCATTACGGTCCATTTTAGAAAAATCATGTATAAACAAAAATTATCGAAGATCGATATCGCAAACAACTTTTTATTTCAACAATTTTCATAAAAATCGGCATTTTGCACATTTTGTCAAATTTCTCGAATACGGACCATTTCAGGAAATTTTGACATAAAACAAAAATTATAGATAATAATATTAGAAATAACTTTTATTTGAACAATTTTTTTCTCCAACCATGAATAGATATATTCCATAAAATATAAAAACGGCCCCCCATAAAGTACCCCCCCCCCCCAGATGTTCCGACTTTGTCCAAAATCTAATCATTTCACGTCAGGCCGAAATAAAACTTAAGTTTAAAATTTAATGTTTTTTTTCTTTATCCGTTTTTGAGTTTTCTTCAAATTTCGAAATTTACACATTTTCTCAAATATCTCGAATACGGTCCATTTTAGAGAAATTATGTATAGAATAAAAATTATGGAGAATTATATTACAAACAACTTTTGTTTGAACAATTTTTATAAAAAAATATACTCGAGGTCGAAAAAATCATGATTCCTATACTTTCCTTATATCTGTATACAGATAGGAAAGTAAAAGGAGTAACCCTAACAAGCGATAAAATTAAAATTGAAAATATTCTGTTCCTGCAAAGCCACAAATAATCTAATGAATTATCAATAAAACGTCCCAATGAAATTTATGATTTGTACATGAATGTGTCGACGGTCGACGGACTGTCTAAATATCTTTGTACAATTTATCAGCATAACCGCTTTTTTGATCGTTTCTTCTCGTTCATACTATTTGTTTATTGTTATTATTTTAAGTGTAAAGCTACCATTTCGCAAGCAGAGGCAGAGACCGACTTCAAAACGCGTCTGAACCATAGCCCTCAGACTTTCTGAGGGCTATGGTCTGAACACATGTAATTATATGAAATACATTTCGATAGAAGCGACCGACGACATTAGATTTAGTATGGCAATATTTGTCGCTTCTCTTTTGTCCTCGGTCTCGCGTTGCTTTTCGCGCGTTGCCAAATGGTATCTTTGAGTTACTTGAATTTGTATTTCTTTCTTATTAAAGTAAATAATTTTTTTATCAAAATGGCTAACTTATTCTTTCCTATCCTAATTCTTTTATTTACAACTTCAATATTTAATTAAAACAAAACAAAAATTCAGATTAGGTAAAATATAAAAGTACCAAGGCGTAGGTACACGAACTTTTGTATTTTTTGTTGAAAATCAATAAACTTTTAAAAGTTCACATTGTATTATTTACTTACCTGTTCCATTTTTTTATACTTCTTATCGATTTTGTCTTTCCCCTTAAGTTAAGAACACCTTTAATGACACAGAAAACAATACACCTAGGGCTGGTTGTATAAAGCTTACTTAAAATTAAGCAGTTTTAGGTGATACATGTCAATTTCCGATGCTATATGTGCAGTAAAATGTTTGGGGAAACAAGCCCTAATTGCTAAATGTTGTTTAGACTGTACCTATGCCATACTAAATTTGTCATGTGTCTACTCAAACCGAGTTTAACTTTAAGTAAGATTTATACAACCCGCCCTTAAGATATCTTTAACTTTAAGGAAGTCGTTGCAAACGGCTGTTAGTTTGACACTTTGAATTACCTATTTAAATTTTTTATTTGTACCGGTCCGGTTGGTTCATGGTTCCTTAATTCTATCATAATTTGTTTTATCGGTAAAGTATTTATAAAAGTAATTGCTAATTCATTTTTTCATGTAATTGTAATTAAATCAATATAATTCCTATTTTTACAACATGTAATTTGTACTTGTAATTAATTCCTTTTTTGAAAAAGTACTTTGTAATTGTAATTATGATTAAAGTGCATGTAATTACCCAGCTCTGCTGGAGGAGTTCTTATATTTACCAAAACATGTTTAAAAGTGTCAAATATAAAAACTTTAATCATTGATATGAATCTTTGGTTGTTATCTATAGAAGTTAGAGTGAATGGTACTAGATATGGTGTAGCAGGTATTTATAGGTCTCCCAACGCTAACATTACCCTATTCTTTAAATCGTTTTCAGAATGGACGGATGAATATATAGAAACACAGCAGTTGTAGTGTCATTATAACAGGAGATTTCAACATTCATTTTGATAAAAATTGTCAAGAAAAAAAAAACTCCAAGAATATATTGAAAATAATGGGATAAAACAACTAATTACTGAATTTACTAGAGTATATAAGGATGCTAAGTCAACAATTGACCTCGCGTTAACTAATGATTTCACTTTAACTGCTTGTGTGGAAAAAATTACATACTATCACACCATTTCATTATACAAGCTTAAATACAACATTTAAATATTAATTTAGAGGAAAATTAAAAAATTTGTATGAATATAAATTATGATAAAACGGTCAACATCTTGATTGAAAGGGATTGGGAATATTCTGTAGTTGATGTTCTAGCAGATATTTTTCTAGATAATGTATTATTAGTAATTAATTAATTAATTAAGTAATTAAGTGGTTTGATATTATCTTTGATAAATAAAGTTTATTATTATTATTATATCAATTCCTTCAGACCTCAGACCTGATCCCACCAGTGCTAGGAAAGCAACCGGAAGAATGAAATACACATCCTTTACCTTCTACTTAAATCATTATTACTTCTAAATAAACTGTCCATTTTTAATGATAATACAGAAAGTAAAAACTCACCAAGATCATTTTCAGCCAATGGTCCTACACAGCCGAAAAATCGTTTATCCAATAACTGCAGCAATTGCAAAGCAGTATCTCTAACTACCTGCCTGGGACATCCTGTATTCATCAAGGTCACATTGATGATTGCGGTATAATGATCACACGGATATTCCCTGAATATTAAAAGTTTATTGTATTATTGAACTATATTAATATTTAGATTATTTTGAACTTACCTTGCGCTGAAGATGGTCGCTAAGGCAATGAAACAGCTGTCTGCTACTTTCGAAGCGCCCGTATAACATTTATCTACTACCCAATCTAATAGAGGGGATACATCTGGGTTCGATTCGAGTAGTAACACTACAGTTTCTTGAGCTAAACTGTATACCTTAAAAATAATGATACAAGTTAGTGTAAATAAAGAAGATTGTATGTCACAAATAAATATATAGACAGTTGACACTTTGCATACATTAAAGACCCGTTTTAGTATTCTTAAATCAAATGCGCAGTCGCGATTTAGTTCTATATTCCTTCAAGTGGATGGAATAGAGGAAATAGGAAAGAAAGAAGAAAAATATGAACACAATTAAAATATTAGGGAATAATTTAAGAAATGAGTTAAATAGGAAAGGAGACACTTTATCTAACTCTATAAAAAAAATAAAGAGAAAGACAGATAAAAAAATTGGTTTATAGTTTATACCTTTTCATCAGTACTATTCAACAATCCGTCAATCCACAAATAATAAGAACTCTCCTCTGTAAGTGAATCGAAACATGGTCCACAACATAACAGCGAACTCATTGCTTGCAACGCTACAAGCTGCAGTTCAATGTGTTTTTTATTGTTCATATCACCTTCCACGCTAGTTTTTCCAATGGGAAACCCATATTTTCCAGCCCAATTTCCAAACAGGGTAAACAAATTACATCTCAAGTCTCGTTTCAGTAGGCTCCTGCAAGCATCCACTAAAAAAGAATATTGTATTTAGTATTACACACAGGTGACTGGAAGGCAGAGAAAGTTTTCGCACGAACACGATCTGCCATATTGACGGGAAATCGTTAACAAAGTTCCCACGAAACAGAAAAAACTTACCTCCAAATCATACCTGTTCCTAAACGTGATTTTTTCGTGAATCCGTAAATATAAATTTCATGCTTGAATAAACACAGTGAAAATTTTTCTTCATGGCTCAAATTCGGATATTTTGAACAAGACACAACATTTTTTGGCTCAAAAATGGTGAAAATTGTAGCCAGAAAAATTCTCTTTCTGAATAACACATTGAAAAATATTAATTTTGCCATTATATATAAGCAGAGCCACAAAATATATACTCATACTCGCTTTGCTTAAAAAGCAGATTTTATTTAAAAATGCTAAATGTTCGACGTTCGGTTGGGCCGAAATTGGGCAAAAACATTGTCTTCAAATTTCACAAACCGGGATTCAGTGATGTAACCTGACAAACCGGGTCCTAACTTAGTTTTACAAATACTTATAACCTTGGCCTAAATTTCGTCTAGTAGATCCCCACGAAGTGATTTTTGTAGGACCCCAAAATTTCGCTTAGAGTTCAATGTAGCTGTAATGGAGGAACAAAAAAAACAAACACAAAAATAGATTAAGAATAGTTTTATTTAAACTTATTTCTTATAGCGGGAAGTTGACAATAATGTTTGTCTATTTTAACATAACACATGTGTGGCCTTTTCCATGTCTCACGTCTAACCGAAGGAATATTAAGCTCCCATAAACCGGTGAAAGTATGATGACAGTACTACAGCATATTTGTTATCCCTTTATAATACACAATCATACACACTACTAATATAATCCCTGCATACGTATTGTCTGATATAGTGAAGTTCAGCGGTATCACGAAGAGTATGGCGCGATATGAATATAATTATGTAAATAAGAAGTTTAACCTCATCTTGCGTAACACCTTTCCACTGATATCTCAATACCGTATTTTACGATTGTGCTCAGTACTGCATATATAACAATAACCTGTACGACAACAGAACACCTGATATAAAGGGGGATGCCCGTTAGGCCCTCTTTTGGGGTATCTTTTCATAAGATCCATCCTAGCCTCTATCAGGCTTTTATTTCCACAGACGTGAGAAAATGTACCATTTTTAGGCCCTACTATTGAGGTTCTGCACGTACTATGGGTGGCTGAAGGCTCTTTTTCGGCGCAAGGCTCTTTTGCTCTAATTACCGACAAATCAATGCTATAAATGACAGCTCCGAAACCACAAGCTGTAGTCCCACCTCAATCTCACCTCATTTTTCTAAAAGGATAACAATTATACCGGAGTTCTATAACATGTGATAAAGTGATGCCCAGATGAGCCTAATATAACATAATACCAAAAATTATATTGTTACCCGCCTCTGTACATATTCAATCTTAAAAAGAACCCAAAAAAAGTAATTTTCAACGTTTAGAAGTAAGACATGACTTTGCCTACTTTTGCATCATACAAAATGAAAGAAAATATTATTACCGTACTTTACTTAACAATAGGACTCGACAAATAAATATAATACAATTCAAACATCTGTCTACCATCTAAATGAACGCAAAAGACGACAATTTATAGCCACGAAAGCAGCTTATTGGTTTCTCAAACCCTAAAATAATAAAGGGCTTTGACACTTGATTCTTATGATCATAAACCAGAAGGGCTTAGTTTATTAGTTGTTGTGGCTGGATTTAAAATAATTGATTTTTATGACCGTAATTTTAATTATTAATTATTGTCCTATGAAATGAAATTCACTGACAATGAAATGCAAAAAAAACTACCCACATAACTTAATAATTACTATTTACTAAATTTTACCCAAATAAGAATTGTTCTCCTTTTAAACACATAACTAATTACAAAATGATACCTGTAATAAAACCACGCTGCAATACCTGCTCTCCCCCGGCTGTATACATGAATACTATACAAAGGACACTAGGTCGAAAACGCTGATCTCGAAATATATTCTAGAACGGCGTTTCCGCGATAAAAACCGATAATCGTAACGTCTAATAGAAGATACAATTATCGCTAAAATCTACGTACGGGGATCCACACAACAAAGAAAAAGATATCGTCGACAAAAGTAGAACGACAATCGCAATACTTTTAGTCGTTTTCCACAAGTTTTATACGATTGGATCAGAGGTACTAAATAACTCGCTATTTCTTTATCCGGCGTCGTCACCATAGGCAACGGTTCACCAAGACAAGTCACGCAAAGAATCCAATAACTCGGAAATACAATCCCACAAAACCCTTAGAAGAGAGAAAAATTAAGCTCTTTTAAAACGTCCATCTGTTTGGTCACCTGATAGGTAACACATAACTACCTCTCGATATACAAATATATAACGAAAGAAGTCACCTTAAAGGTAACGGTGTATAGCGCAACAGAAGTCGTTTCATACAGAAAATAATTTATCTGCTCCCTCGATATATTTTACTGCGTTTTCCAAATATAACAAAAAAAGCTGTCACCTTATAGTTAAACGGGATAAACCAATCAATATACTTGAAGAGTATATAGAAGGGAGTCACCTTATAAATAACTGAATCTTACACTTTTTTTGTCAACTGGACGTGAGAAAGGCAGGAAGAATTCTAACCCCCGTTCTTACTTTTTTTTTTTTTTTTTGATTTATTAGTGGAAATCTTAAGTAATTTTACATTTTCTAGGACATATTGTTTTCCTATTTCCCTGCTATAGGAGTTATCCTCCTTTTCAGGGTGGCCCCCGTTCTTACTTTCCGACTCCGTATTTATACTTTAATTTTCCCATTTAGTCAATGCATAAGACAGAGAAAGGTTGAGTAGCGGGCCTACTCAACTTTCACGTAACATAATACTCCGAAAAACAGCCCGAACAATATACGGCTCCCGGACCGCCCTCTGAGTTAGAATTTGCCCTCTAACAATTTACACTCGATGAACAAAAGACGTGCCAAATAGAAAGTGATTGATATATCTTCGAACAACGCAACAAACTATTTAAAGAAAAGAATAAAAAAATATCAGACCCAGGGGCGTCGCGTTTCACTGACAAGGTTCTTTTTTACACACAAGAAAAGGCGCTGGCTTTCCCTGCAAAAAAACAACTCATTTCCAGCCTCTGGATATAAATACCTGAAATTTTGGGTATTGTAACTCAATAAAGAACGTTTATTATTATGTAAACATTGGCATATTTTGTTAACAGGAAAAATAGAAAATATTTGATTTTTATATTTATTGCTTATAATAATAGCCTTTTTACCAACAGAATCAACTCGACCCATTCAACGAAGACTCATTTTTGAGAGTTTTTAGTTACCTTTATCCAGCACATATATTTGCCAAAAGCTTTGATCTAAATAAGTATCGTATATCTAAACGAAGAGGTTAAGCAACCAGAAATACTACCATCAAATATAGTAAATCATTTTAGGCCATAAAATACTTTGAATACTATATCTTAGATTTTCTTAAAACTGGAAATAATGAGTTACTATAGTCTTCGTTGCATGTGTCGAACTATTCCATTACAGAATAATATAAAAAATGTACAAAAATACATTATCAATGTACAATCACTCATTAGAAAATGTAACTGTACACGATGATTAGTACAAGTACAAAATCAATCATAAATTTCAAGCTGTACATTTTCATTTATTGTATTAAAGAAGAGATCACATGAATTACTTATGTTATTAATATCATAATTATTCACACAATATCCAAACATTACAAACATCAGTGTATTAAAATGGTAAGAATAAGAACACTTGCGAAGTGTCATACAATTGTTTGTAAGATAATAAGTAACATGGATTAAATAATATATTATAAAAGTATTGAGACTAAAAACTAATACAAACTACAAATTAAAATTATGACTAAGTAAATTTTACATCAAAACTAACAAACAAACAAAATAGTACCTACTTGTGTTAATAGATGATTTTAAAAGAATAATTATTCTATGTTTTAAAACTTCTTGTTAAATAAAATTATGGAACATTGAAATAATAATTTGATTATCAAATAGTTTATGCAAACATAAAAGTGAAGCCATAAATATTCTGCTTCCGTACCAAGGACACATAGTTTTTGTAATAATCATAAACTGATTTTAGATTTATTTGAAAATATAAAAGAATATCTTGTGTAGTGCCATTATTTATCGATTCTTCACAATAATCATTTGTAATTTATATTTAATCTCAATAACTAAAAACTATGCTGAAAATTAGTTTGACAGAATTGTTACTCATTTAAAATTTAAAAAAATAATGGTATCCTGGTGACCAAATATTGGTGGATTTCATATCTGTAGAGTGTTCATAGAATGGATAAATATATTCGTTCAATGGCCTACTTTTTCGTTCTTTAATCAGTGCGTAAAATACATAATATACATGTGGGTGTAGAACAAAATCAAAAGGTATTCGATCGAATTAGCTTGATAGTTCTTTTATTATTTGAAACAGTATACACCTTATATACACTTTATTAAGACTCCTGAAATATGTTTGCACTGTCCACTGTTCCCAGCTTAAAACAAACACTGCCATTCACTAATTTCAAACATCTTGTACTGGCCTACAACAATATGGGGACCTGAATTCAATGCACTAGTTTGGAGAACAACTGCAAAAACGTGTTTATCACTAAATTCATTCTTTCCACATAAAAACTATGTGGCCCGCATTTAAAATAGCATCTTCTTTAATAACAGTCCTGGAATTTTCACCTGCATCAATATACTTCATAAGTTCTATTAAACTTAGCCTTATTTCAGACATCTCACTAAAAATAAAATAAATATATTAATATTTTATTAAAAGATAACACAAATATATCTTAAATTAACATAAATGAATGAATGTAATTTAAAAACAAAATTAATAGGGGGTTACTTACCAAATAAAAATATATATTCTACTTTAACTTAAAAACTATTGAAATAAAAGTATCTAATCACTAAAAATTAACAACAACAATATGTTTTCCCTCGTGTTTTCCTTAAAATAGCACAATATAAACTAAATACTTTTTATGGGTTGTTTGTTTACAAACTCAAAAATGTAAACAATAACAAGCCATAACAATTAGTTTAAATGTTAAGTACAGACGGCGCTGCGATCTTAATTTTAGATCCCAATCGGTGAAATACTCGATCCGCGCATAGTTATTCATCGTGATTATGGAGTACATGCATCTCAACAATCAAACGTAAGTCAAGCCCCAAAAAAAGGACAAAAGAAGGATTCAAAAGAAAAGAATATCACAAAGTTTTGCAGACTTTATTTCCAAGGAAGTGGGACGGGGCAAGGGTCATACTTTTGTCAAAAAAACATCATCTAAGGCGAAAGCGCGGGAAAATATTTTAAAACTGACTGGTACTCTACCAGTGAAACAGAAGGAGCAGATTTGTTCATCTCTTATCTCAGATGCAGAAAAAGTGTGCAGGCTGGGGATCGATAATGATGATGTGAAAATTTCAACGATTAGTTTGAGCACGACTGGTCGCAATAAAACTATTTGGCTCAAGAAACCGGATGAATCACCTATATTTTCGATCGAAAAATTAAATACCTACCAAGTTGAATCCGGAGCATCAGGTAAACAAATGAAGAATTTAACGACCTTTATTCGAAGTACAGCAGGGCGAAAATCTATACCAGCCTATTATACAGAGCAGGCTTCAGAGAGAGCTAAGCTCTTGGAAAATGTGTATTATTCTGGAATTTTTGAATTTGATATAGAAAAAACCCTGTCAAACAGAAAAGACCTGTCATTTGGGGTAATGCTAAAGAAATCTTGGATACGGTAATAAGTAAACGCAATCTTATTGGCTGATGGTGGTCAAGGTTTCTTCAAAGTATGTATGACCATCATTCCAGAGGATTATTTGTCCGAATCCATCGCAGATTCAAATGAAGATCATTCGTCGGCGAAAAAACACAAAGTAGACAAAGTAACAAGTGCCCTTAAACTAATTATGTTGGCAACAGTACCTGCGATCAAGGAGAGTTATGAGAATGTGAAGATATTATTTGATTTGATGAAAATAAACGACATTCCGTTCAAATTTGTGTCCGACCTGAAACTCTTGATAATTGTCAACGGCCAACAAACAGCTACCTCCTCGTTCCCTTGCCCTTATTGCTTCGTGAAGCTACAAGATTTAAGGAATCGCACGGGCATTAATAGATCACCCCCCACAAATGACGAGAACAACGGAGATTTTCCCGATGAAGAACTTCTGGCGAAGAAAACTTACGGTGATCTGCGCAAAGATTATCAAGAATTCGTATCTTTGGGTTGCGATAAAAAACAAGTCCAGGAGTACCATAAATACACCTCTATTCGTCGAGGATGGTAATGTTCCAGTACTGCAAAAGTGCATTATCCCCAAATTGCACATTCTCCAAGGGTTTATGAATCATTTGTTTTGGATAGTTCTCGTACCTCTTCTTGGCAAGGAAAAAGCTCTGCTCTGGCCCCATAAATTAAAATTGGTATCAAAAAACTATCATGGAGAGGCTTTCGAAGATAATGCCTGCAGAACTTTACTTAAGCGAGCAGATGTGCTATTGAAACCAGAAATCAGTGAACACTTGGGCGGATCTCTAGCTCTTCAACCATTCATTGCCGCTTTTAGAGCAATGGATAAAATTGTGCACTCATGCTTTGCAGTCAGGAGGGTTCAATCTGAATTGAGTCATCATATTAAAGATTTGAAGACAGCTCTTCTCGCAATAGACGTAACTGAAACTCTTAAAATTCACATTACTCTATGCCACATTGAAGAAAGTCTCGAATTCTTGAACGATGATGAAGGTTTTGGTTTATGGTCCGAGCAGGCTGGCGAATCGATACATAGAGAATTCCTAAAGTTTTGGAATAGACGTAAAATTAATAATCTAGATGACCCAGATTACCTGCTTAGATTGAAAGCAGCTGTTGTTGATTTCTCGTCAAAACATATTTGAATTTCCACAGAAAAAGAATGAATTGTATCAAATACACACTTTTGGAATATATTCGACCAGACTGTTAATTCATATTATCTTCACCGAGTTGTATCAATTGAATAAATATACAATTGAATAAATATGCAATAATAATCATGTGTTGTAATGAATTAAATATGTTGTCATTTCTAACAATCCTATTCACTGATCTAAGTATTTCATAACCTTTAGCTCCCTTATTTCATCCCTTAAAAACTTTTTTGAGAGCCAAGGGACAGTTTCTGGACATTCTCAACCCAACGGAACGTCGGACATTTAGTATTTTTGAATAAAATCTGCTTTTTAAGCAAAGCGAGTATGAGTATATATTTTGTGGCTCTGCTTATATACAGGGTGTTATTGAAATACACGTACATATTAAAACTGGGTATTGCGCAGATCCCCACTGAATGTAGAAAAATATTATTTTTTAAAAATACCCCTTATTAAGGGAGTTATTAATTTTTGAAAATTAATTCTAAAACAAACGTACTTCACTGATATGTTGAGGATGACCTATATAAATTAGGTTTATTTACCTATTTTAAACATCAACAGTAATTAATATGCAAGTTTTTATCAGATGATAAGAAAACTAGTCTTGTAAGAAATAACCATGTTGCCAAGATTTTCGAATTAATTTCTATTTCCGAAGACTGATTGTTTTTAAACTATACATTATTAAACTATAGATTATTAAAATTTTAGTTGATTTACGAATGTGGCTAACACGAGCGCGTCATTTCCAAGTTGGTAAAAAGTGTTGTTACGATTACTTTTAAATATTTTTTTACGATGCCACTATTTACGAATATTGAACTAACGGATATAGTGCTGGTTTATAGGGCAGCTGGAGAAAATTCTCGGCAAGCACAAATCCTGTATCGCGAACGGTTTCCAAATCGGAGAATTCCGGACTGTCGTACGTTTATTTCAACTGTTCAGCATCTAAGAGACCATTGAAAATTTGAGAGTGTCAATGCAGATCGAGGGAGAACAAGAACACAAAGAACATTGGCGGCCGAAGAAGAAATATTGGAAGCTGTTGAAAATCGGCCTCAATTAAGTTGTAGAAGACTAGGTCTTGAAATTGGAGTGTCCTCATTTGTTGTGTGGCGGACACTTAAAGAACAAGGTTTACATCCTTATCACATCCAAAAAGTCCAGGCCTTATATCCAGGTGATGAAGAAAAGAGAGTGGAGTTTTGTGAATGGATGATTCAAAAATGTGATGATATTCCTGATTTTCTAAAAATATTATAGTATACTGACGAGGCTTCATTCACTTGTGATGGCGTGTTCAATATGCACAATACGCATATTTGGAGTGATGAAAATCCTCACGCCATTAGGGAAACTGGGCATCAAAGAAAATTTTCAATAAATGTTTGGGCTGGCATAATAGATCAGTATTTAATCGGGCCTTATGTTCTCCCGAACAGATTAAATGGGCCAGGATATCTCCACTTTTTAGAAGATATTTTGCCAGTACTCCTAGAAGAGATACCGTTACAATTAAGGCAACGGATGTGGTACCTACTAGATGGCGCTCCTCCTCACTTTGATTTAAACGTACGGCAGTTTTTGAACATTAGATTTCCTCAAAAGTGGATAGGCAGAAATGGACCTACTAAGTGGCCTCCGAGATCTCCGGACTTAAATCCATGCGATTTCTTTTTGTGGGGTCACATGAAACAACTGGTTTATAATGAACCTATTAATAGTGTTGAACAATTAACCAATAAAGTTAATGCGGTAGCCGAGGAACTACGACAAAATCCAAGACTAATTTCTAATGTTCAAAGTTCTTTGGAAAGACGATTACAAGTGTGTGTAAATAATAATGGACGGCATTTTGAACAATTACTGTAATAAACTTTATTTTGAATTAATTGGTTTTGCTACGACAACAGTGCAATTTCTATGGGTAAGTTCAATTTCGATTTATTTTACTTCTTTAAATATGGAAACTAGTAGGTCGGAAAAGGGGACTCTTCCCCAATATTTAAATTTTAGAATTTGAAGTTAAAATTAGTGCCAATCGTTTTTGGTCATTACATACTATTCCCCATTTTAATATGTACGTGTATTTTAATAACACCCTGTATAATGGCAAAATTAATATTTTTCAATGTGTTATTCAGAAAGAGAATTTTTCTGGCTACAATTTTTACCATTTTTGAGCCAAAAAATGTTGTGTCTTGTTCAAAATATCCGAATTTGAGCCATGAAGAAAAATGTTCACTGTGTTTATTCAAGCATGAAATTTATATTTACGGATTCACGAAAAAATCACGTTTAGGAACAGGTATGATTTGGAAGTACGTTTTTTCTATTTCCTGGGGACTTTGTTAACGATTTCCCGTCAATATGGCAGATCGTGTTCGTGCGAAAACTTTCTCTGCCTTCCAGACACCTGTGTACAGCGCAGCCATGGATTTATTTGTCTACACTTACAAGTGAAATTCTTGATCATTTTTCTAATAAAATAGCAAAAATTCATCGTCAGATCTCTAACGGTGGTAGAATTTTTATCAGGTTCGTTTTCGAGATAATATCTAACGCCATCTATGAATTCAACTAAAACGGGAAGCAGAGATTGCGAATCTCTATCTAATACGCAAGCGCTTATTCCAAACGTTCCATTGTCAGCTACAAATTCTAATAATCTTGTCAGTTGCAGTCTTAGCGCATCTCTTCTGCGCCTCCGTCTGACATTTTCTTGCTTTTTATCGACAGCCTCTCGAACGTAGACTGTAAGTTCTTCAAATAAATCTCTAGAAAAAAGAAATATTATGAATTGACAGGAATTACCATAGAAATAGTATAGAAAGCCGATTCCATATATCAAAAATGAAACCATAAGGAGAAAATAGTGTGTCAGAGCTCATGCGTATAACGGTGCTGGCGCGAACAGGACCGGTGCAAGTTTTTTATTGATCGAACAAATAGTTCGCACGATATTTCAATCATACATTTTTATTCTATACATTCTATTCTATTCTATACAAAAAACGATTAAAAAAATTTCAAGTTAAGGTAAATATGGTTCTGACAGTCCTTATTAAGAAAGATATGGCATAAAATATGAATTAGTTAATTTTCGGCAATCATTAGTACAGTAGTCATGAGATTTTGCTTGTGATTTTAAAAATACTTTCCAGAAAAACCACGTGCTCCGGTTTTGACTACGTTTATTATTAAACAGCGAAATTATATACAAAAACTTTGATCCACAATCTAAATTAGGTACTATCACAAGAAAATCACTATTACAATAATTAATTACTTAACCAAAAACTAAAATACTTTTTAGGTACCTACGTAACCAGAAAGGACCATTTATCCTAATATTGATTTTCTCTCTCCCTACGGTAAAACTTAAAACAATAACAAATTGCCTATCTACTAGGGTCGGTAACTAAACGTATATACATAATGGGCGGATTTTGTTTATACTTAACATTACACTCGCGCATTTAAATATAACTATGCATATAAATATTTACAAACAAAGATACTTTTCCAAACAGGCAATCATTAGTACTGTAGTCACGAGATTTTGCTTGTGATTTGACATCTTATTTGATAATATAATTTGCTATAACTAAATTTAATCTGGGGAGTGCAAAATAGGGCCCAGGAATATTATGTTCGATATTTTTTTACATTTTGTCAGCCGAGACCATGAGTCGTTAGACAGAAAACCTTTCATGTTACCATTTTCAATATAAATTAAAAAATTAAAAAATACTACTACATTTACTTGGTACATATTTTATTTTAATTTTGAACCTTTTTAAAAGGGTCTTTCGGTTCCATAATAAAAATTAGTTGCTGCTTACTAGAAACATTCTATATAGCCTAAACCAATTTATAGTTTGTTTTCGATCAATTTAATACAAAGATTTAAAGTTTTTAGTCGATGATAACATTCCACACCAGCACATTTCAAACCTATTTTATAAATAATAGGAATAAACTTGTACATCATTAATTTGGTAGTTATCTCACTCATATGATTTTTTTGTTTATATGACTATTTCGATTTCTAAATATATTTTGGCCTTACAATACGAAGCGTTTTGTATCTACCACTTTTTTAATGAACGATGAATGTTGGCAGGAAATGATTTTCGAACTATCTAGTTAGTTTTCGGAAAAATAGAAAACGTTTGAAGAAAGTTGTCAATAACAGTTTGTCGTTCAAGTGTTTCATTTTGATCAGCTTTCATACTAAATTGCGTAGGATATTTTTCCGATTCAAAATCGAGATTCTCGATATTTCCACAGTTTATTTATAATACCTTCTAAACTGGATTTATCTATCATTTTATATACTTTATAATATATGTTCATGCCCTACTTTTCACTTTATTAACAATTTTTTTTTAACATACTTCAAAATGGTAGGATATTCTCAATTCGTTGAAATATTTTTTTATGTATGTTGAGAGATAATTCTTTACCACGTTGCCCGATTTCTAGGATTATTTTTGTTAGAAAAGGAAACATTTTTATATACATTAAGTCAAGATCTGAAGATGGGATCCATAAGAAAATCATTAACATCTTTATTTTTAAAGTAGGTTTTTTTTTAAATTTCTTTAAACCTTACTGGTTCGAACGCGGTAAGGAATGAAGAAATGTAAATAATTGTTGTGCCAGCCAAAAAGCGAAGAGGAAGTACCGATTAAAATATCGAGTGACAGAAGAGTTCCTAAGATTGTTGAGATCGGGTTTATGTTTTAAAATGCCTTAAAACCGATATCGATAATGTCTCCCCGTCGCTGGGCAGCCTGTATATAAATATACAGCTCTCTATTTACATAATTATAATTCTTAGGTAGGTTTAGATTTGCAGACATAAATCTTGTAATAAATATAACAGCTGCCTAATACATTGATTACATTTTCATTAGCCAATGTAAAAATGTCTTTTATTGTACCTAGGATTTGACTAAACACTACACAAAACTAAAAATAAAATGCCACTTTCATCGTGTAATTAATGCCGCGTTTGAGAATCCACATCGGATGCATTTTTTACATCTCGAGCGTTTTTTATCCACATCGGACACATCTGTCCCATTACATTTACGTATACTGAATCACGTGATCAAAGATTTACTACTTACTACATCTCAGATGCATCCGATGTGGATTCTCAAACGCGGCATAAATAATAAACTACAAACGGTCCTGTAAGGGCAGCGTCATATAGCCTTGAAACACCGGATTTTAGTGCTATTGCCAGGTCAATATTGAATTTGTAGGTGAATCGCTTATTGAACATTAAAAATACGGTATTAATGACATTAATACGGTATTTGTATATATTTTTGGGAATGTAATTACACATAAATATTATTAGTTGATTATTTAAATGTGTATAAGTTATTTTGTGGCGATATTTCGTAGATATAAACTGTTTAAATCATATAATTTAAAAATTAATTAATTTAAAATTCTTTTCTGTTAGGTATGTTTAATATATTTGGCAACACTACAGGGACAAGTCATGCATATTGCGCAAGCTTCTAGACACACTATTTTGCGATGTCAGGCGCAGAGACGCGTTTTTATGCACAGTAGGTTTCAATTTCTGCTTAAATGTTATGTTTATATTGGTCTTCTATATTATTTCTATGGGAATTACTGACAAATGACAGGAATTAAAAAAACGACAAATGAAGTAAATTGAACGTTTTACATACATAGACGTGAAGAGGATATTTTAATATTATTTTTATAATACATACCTGAGGGCCGACCCGTTTATATTTCCTAAAGCATAAACTGCAGCATCTCTTATGTCTGTAACCTCGCATCTCAAATGTGGAACTATCAATTTGTACAAAGATACAGGTGAAATATTTGTAGCTGGTAGTTTACTATCACTTTTTTCAGCATTCAAACTATCAGGAGACGAACTAAAATAAATAAATTCATGTTAATACTTTTTAGAGTTTTTTTTTTATACATATACCTTAAACTAAGATCTGGGCTAGCACATCTAACAATCGGATTTGATATGAGTGGAACAACCCTAAACGCAAAAGTTATATAATTTTTCCATAAATGCATATAAGCGTCTCGTTCTGTAGGTGGTTTTTTCACAGCAGTAGCACTTCTTAATAACGAAGCTCTGTTATCGTTTAAAGGACTGAAATATATACAGATAGTTAAAAAAGGAAAATTTTAAAATAATAAGTAAGTACTTACGTAGGATCAACAACAGAGTACAGAGCATTCAACCTAGTGTAAACGATAGGCCATGAGTGCATCGCCATTAAAGTACACAAACTAAATAATCTATCTCTTTCTAAAAATCCGAAATAGCATACACTCCAGGGATCTACTACAGTAAAATTGTAATTAGCAGCATTTTTTATAGATCCGTCTTCAAACAACCCAGCAGTCCAAACCGAAGAACTTCTATCTGCCAACCATTGTAAATCTATTGTTCCGACCCCTTGAACGGCCGTTTTTTCTGCAGGTGGAAGTAGCGGTAAACATTTTTCAATCACTTGTGGACAGTATTGATCCACAATATCGATAACGGGTGGATGTTCTGAACAATTTAGAGTTTTTAAAAGGCTTTTGACTTCTTTTAAGATGAGAACGGATAATCTTCTGGTCGTCAATCGGTAAGTACATAGCATAACCAATGCTAGAGCCTCTACTAAATGTAGGACGGACGCTAGTGGTTCTGATTTGCTGATGTCTGTCCGTTTTGTAAGGTTAGGGTCAGGCGGACCGGCTTTAAGTTCATTATATTCCTTACCTAAAAATATTGAACGATTAGAAATATCTTTAAATAATCATAATACATAATAGACGTATTCTTAAAAAAAGGGTCATACAAAAATAATGCTCATTTTCACTATATGGTTCTAAATTTATTAAGTATGACACTTAGTATCAAATAAGTTGTGGGTGTGGGTTTAAACAAAGTTCCTTTAGCATTAATAATTTTAATCACTTAATAAAACACAAAACTGAAACGAATAAAAATGGTTATTAAGAATAAACAAATGAATACCGGGTTTAAACAATTATGAAAACACAAGTCTCGACCTGAAGGGAATGAACTCTTAAAAGCTTAAAACAATACTGTCTAATATTATGCTATGTCTTTCGGCACTACATGGATGGCGGCGTTGCCGGCTCTAGCTTAACTTAAAGCCGATCATCTTGTTACACAAGTCATATATATGTTCACTTTTAAATAACTTAATGTTTGATAACCTTTTTTATTATATCGATCAATTTATTGTTTTATAACTATCAGAAAATATACTGGATATTTATTTATCTATTTAATCATACATCCAACGGCCAAGGCCCATTACAGAATGCACAATATACATTAATAAACATTATGGGTATATAATACAGCAAATAGTGAAAAACACATTATAAAGTTAAACTATAAATAGCGAGATTGTGTGGGTAATCTGAAAAAAAAAACTCCAGTGGAGAAAAAAGATTAATCATACATAACGCATTTGAAACAGAGCTAGAATATAAAATATATGAAAAAGAATTATTTTATAAGGAATATAACGGATCAAGAATAGATTTTTAATATTCGAAATGCTAGTAAAAATAAATCAATATCTCCACTTAAGTTATTAACCGTGGACAGCATTTGTTGCAATGAAGACTGACATAGTAAATTTGTTCTGGGAGTCGGAATAATAAATGTGCAACTATGCCTGGAATTGATTCTAGGCACAAAAAGGTTAAGCTGAGCACAAAGAGCAGGGCATTTAATTAAATGGTGTACTATTTTGTAAATGAAAATTATTGAATATATAATTCTACGTTGAAATAAGCTGTGCATTCCAAACATTGCTAAAAGCTGGTCTTGTGGATATCCCCTCTCGGGGTAGGTTCCATGAAAATAATAATAAAGACTCTTAATAAAACGTCGCTGAACCTTTTCTAAAGTTAAGACGTGTACATTATAATTAGGGGGCCATATTACTGAGGCATATTTAAGCTTGGACCTAACAAGGGTATTGAATAATAATTTGCAAGTATCTGGATTATTAAAATATTTGCTACACCGTAAGATGGAATCTAAAACTTTATAACACGACGCGACAGTTACGGCAAGATGATTAACGAATGATAATTTTGAATCGAATACAACGCCAAGGTCTTCATTGATGTTAGGTCTCTACAGGATGACTCCTCCTATATTGTAATCGTATATTATACAATCAATCTTTCGCGTATATGACATAACGTTGCATATTGCAGGATTTAAAATAAGATTATTAATTATACATCAATTTTGAATTTGTTTATATCGGATTGCAGTAACGTACAGTCATTGATGTTATCAATCTTTGAAATAAGCTTCAGGTAATTAGCGTAGAATAAATATTGTACATTTACATTATTACAAATATTAATGAAGATTATAAAGCATAAAGGACCTAAAATGGAACCTTGAGATATCAAGCGAGATTTAACACCACTAAGAAGGATATACTGGAAACGATTAATTAAATAGGAATGAAGGAGAGATAGTAAATAGTCAGAAAAATTCAACATATTCAACTTGGATAACAAAATTGGATGACTAAAGCGATCGAATGCTTTGGCGGTCCAATATAAATTAAGTTTGATTTTGAGATATAAATACTGTTTATATTTCTCAACATATATGTTAAGGTAAGGGACAATTAAGCCCAATAAAAGTCATTAAACCACCAAAACTGTTTATTTATTAGTATTACACTATTCTATATTTTATTGCTTGGCTACGCGGTCGAGCTAAGACTGCCTACTGTTTTTCTCTGCTGCTCTCCTCCGCCAACCGTTCGTCCGTCCTGAAGGCGAGTTCGGATAGTCAGGGACTGGATCGGGACAAAAGCGGAGTTTTTTAGGGTGCTTTTAAATGACATTTAAGCATGTTAAACTGTCACCAATCGGACTAAACCGAACGCTAAAAGAGTCGTTTGGAGTAAAAAGTGTTAAAGGAACTTGGCAGGCCGAACGCAATGTGACTTGTCAGGAGTATTGACATTGACACGTAGTCAATAATGTTGGGGTACAAGGGAACTATCACTAACATATATACAATCTTTGGTTTACATTTTGAACATAAACCCCTATTTTTAAAGAAAAAATTAAGTATTCCTGAATGAATATGTCTATAACAGTTAAGATTTTATTTTCTTTAAATTTACTTCTACAAGACTATCTTATGTTCAAACTTAGCATGAGTTACATTATTTTATTTGCATTATATCTAATTCTGGATTCAAAATTTGCATAGTAAAACAATTTTTAAATTATCCCATTCCAAATATTTCTTCGCAACTCTGATACTATAACGGATATGGCTTAATTTTTTACATGCATGGTTTTTCCAGCAGAGAAAACTATACACCATGTATTGCAGAAGTCAAAATTAGTCAATTAGATAAGATTTGCAAGGAGTTGGACATTGTTTATCCTTGTTCACCGCGACCTTTTCAGATCTATTGTGGGACTTTTTTTAGATTATACTGTCCAGCTTGGTCTTTTTTATTAGACCTAGTAGCTTTGACAGTAGCTCCCACATGTAGTTCCATGCGTTTGGCTTTTCTTCGCCTAATGTTAGAAACCTCAATCTAGCCAGGCCTTCACACTGGCACAGGAGATAAATTGATGGTTCCTCTTCTTATTCTCAGAACCGGCACAATGTTGTTTCTTCTGCTGGATTGATGGCACGCATGTGCCTTCTTAAGCGACCGTGTCCAGTAAGAAGACCTACTGGTTATTTGTTTACAGTACGCTACAGATACATAAACATAAAGTTCTAAATGGTACATTAAAAATTAATAAAATTGTCACAGTATAAAAATGAAGCCAATAGTGTAATGAAAGTTGACGCTTTAAAGAAAATAAACCTGTATTAAAAATGTCATAATTTGAAAAATTTGTAATTGGACATTTGTAATTGGTCTACAAATAAATTCTGTCCATAGTTTGTTCTATGAGTATTTACATAAAATAGTTTAATCTGCCTAGTAAGTCTGACAGGAACAAGGAATCTAATAAAATGTACCAGGCTGTCACTATCAATCAAACCATTCAATAACTTATACAGAAAAACAAGCGATGCTTCTCGACGTCTGCATTCCAAACTCTTAAGTCCGCACAACAGAATTCTGGTTTGGTAATCTATGTTTAGCCTATGTTTATATAGTAGATACTACGAAAATTTATTTTGCGCTCTTTCTAATTTATCAATATGACAATTGTAGTTAGGTGCCCAAATCACTGAGTAGTATTCTAAAATGCTTCTAACTAAGCAGTTGTAGAGACTCTTCAGAGCTGCCGTGTCATAAATGTACTTGGTGGTCCTTTTGTCAAAGCCCAGCAGTCAAAAAGCTCTATCTACAACTTCTTCCAAATGAGGAATAAACGAAAGGTCCCTGTCAAAAATAACACCAAGATCATTTATAGTCCAAAACCAGCAATGACATAATCATGCACAATGATATTAGATGTTTTATTGAACCTTACGACTTTACATTTATCGATATTTAGTTTAAGCAAGTTATCGTTGCACCATTGAACCAAATTGCTGAGATCTGATTGTAAGTGATTGTTTGAAAGGTCATTGACGATTGAAAAAAAAATTAGGTCATCTGCATATACGAGGCAACTGGAGTTATTAAAACAAGTTGTTACACCGTTGATAAAAAGTATGAACAATATAGGTCCTATATGTGAGCACTGTGGCACACCTGAATGTATCAGAATTTCGCTAGATGTGAAACCACATAAATTCACTCTCTGACGACGTTCAATTAAATAGGAACGAATAAACTCAAGGTAGTTGCCGATAATACCCATCCTCTTCAATTTATCTAACAGCAAGGAATGACAAACACTGTCGAAAGCTTTAGACAGATCAGTGTAGATAGAGTCGAGTCCACTTGTTTGCCATCCTCTATTGCAGATAAAAGAAACTGTTGATACTCAACAAGACTAGTAGTTGCTGATCGCCCTTTGAAAAAGCCATGCTGTTGTGGTGCAATGTAACGCCGAAAAGACATAAATATCTCATCTTTTATTATAGCCTCCATGACTTAAGAAATGCTGGATATAATCGAGATTCCTCGATAGTTTGAAACATTAAATTTGTCGCCGGATTTAAATATTGGCACTAAGTTAGAATATTTCCAACGCTGGGGAAAGAAACCATCATCAAAACATTTTTGGAATAATTGACATAGAGGAATAGAAAGTGAGGATTGGCAATTTTTTAAGAAAATGGGAGGAATTCCATCCGGACCAGGGCCTTTAGAGACATCTAACTGAAGCAAGTGAGTGTTGATCTTTTCTTCAGTGAAAACGCGAGAGAAAGATTACTAAAGAAATCAGTAATGAGGTTAGAAGATGTAACAACATTGTGTTTAATGTAACAGGCCTGAAAATAAAAGGCAAATGCCTCAACTATTTCTTCAGGGTCATAAATTATTTTGCCATTAATAAATTATATATGACCAGAAGTGCTTGATATTATTAAGAATACGGTGTTCTATGTTAGAAGCAAAGGTAAGAAGACCTACTGGTTATTCTAACGATTTGACGTTTGTGATCTATTAGGTATTTCGTGAACTTGGTCGATGGTTGTTTAATGAACTGTTTGGCCTGTCTCAGTCTTGGATAGTTGTTCCAGACCATCAACTACCTTTCATTTCCCCAATTTTAAATATGGATCAGAAGAGACGCTGGAAGTTCTTAATCAGTCGATGGTACTTTTGAGAGAATCTTTCTTTAAAAAGAAAAGACTAACTAATCAGAAAGCAGAAAACGTGAAGGTAGTGATCGAAAAAATTTTGAATAAGACGTGTAAAATTAGCCCCCGTGCTTGATAATAGTGCCAATGAACATGATTTATCTCACAAGCAACTAAAAGTAACATTTGCTGAAATCTCCAAAAGAAGTGAGAAAATGCTGGTATTGTCAGTTCTGCGAATTAGGTGGGTCCAGAGCACAAATTCAGAAAGAGTTTGGTGTGTCTCAAATGGCAAGGGCAGTAAAAAAAATGGTGAAAGAAAAGGACATTTTTTCTACGCCCAATCCGAAACCAGGAAAAACCATTTCAAATGATATTGTTACACTAGTTAAAGAATTTTATTTGAGAGGCGATATAAGCAAAATGATGCCAGGAAAAAAGGACTGTGTAGTAAATAAAAAAGAAAACCGCAAAGAATGTGTAAAAAAATTTGCTTTGGGCCAACTTAAAAGAAGTTTATGCTTTACTTAAAAAGAAGTACCTAGAAATAAAAATTGGCTTCACCAAATTTTATGAACTTAAACCAAAAAACTGCATCTTTGCCGGAAAAAGTGGCACAAATTCAGTGTGTGTTTGCCTCATCCATGGAAATATTAAATTAATGATGAGTGTTTCCAAAATTGATACATTTACTATTGATGACACTAAGAAAGCGATGTTTCCAGATTACCAAGCATGTTTGGAAAAACTAATGTGCAATCCAGAAAGCCTAGATTGTTACCTCGGTAAATGTGAAACTTGCCTGGAACTGAAATTCTAATAGAAATTTGTTGAATTTTTTATTGATAATGTTACATACAAGAAGTGGGTTTATGTGGATTGCTGTAACGTGGAGACGATTATTAAATCCACTGAAGATTTTCTTGAGGAATTTAGTTAAACTAAAAACACACTCGTTTATTTCCACTATGGAGAGATTTTTTACAATCAGACTAAAACAAATTTAATAATGGGAGAAGCATTTATCACTTGTGATATTACCAAAAATTATTATTTTGTCTTACAGGATGAGGTCCAATGATACCACTGGACTACCAGTCAACACTTCAACCATTTGTGATATATTACAAAGATGAAATGAAGCATTTGAATTATGTTTACATTTCAGATTGCTTAAACTATAAAACAATGGCTTTTTGTTTTTAAAGGATTTAATACCTGAGCTTAAAAATAAAATCAAGAACCTTACAAAAATTTTCTATTTTTCTGATGGGTTCGCAGCTCAATATAAAAAAAATATTATTTTACTAATGTGTGAGCATGAAAAAGAATTTGGAGTAAAGGTTGGCTGGAATGAGGTTTCTAACATTGGGTGAAGAAAAGCCAATTGCATGCAACTACATGCGGGAGCCACTGTCAAAGCTACTAAGTCTAATAAAAAAGACCAGGCTACTCTAAAATAAAACAAACGGAGTCCCACAATAGATCTGAAAAGGTCGCGATGGACAAGGACAAATAATGTCCAACTCCTAAATTAATCTAAAAGGTTGAATGGCACTTTTTTGCTACGTCCCACGGCAAGAGTGCTTGCGACGGGCTCGATGGGACAGTAAAACGGTTGGCTACCAGGACTAGTTTGCAAAGACCTTATGAAGAACATATCATGACTCCAGAACAACTGTTTGAGTTTGCAAAAGGTAAAACATATTTAAGTTTATCATTATGAAAAACATTCAAAATATTTGGAAAAATGGTTTGCTGATGCACAGACGAATCCAAGAATCCAAAAAATTAATTCTGTCATTTCAGTGTCAAAGTTAAAAATTATCACAAAAAGTTTCTCATTGAGCTCAGAAGAACAAATACATGAACTAATGCAGTGTCCTGAAATAACAAATTCAGAGCTTATGCGTATCCAATCTGGTTTTGTTACTGTTGAATACGACAAATTATGGTGGTTGGCATGTATTACTGGAAAAAATGAGAAATCTGATTAATTCAAAATCAGTTTTTTGCATCCAAATGGGCCAATTAGTTCATTTTCGTACCCTAAGCCTCAAGCAGATCTACTGATAATTAAGAAAGATACTATATTAAGGAAAGTTCAGCCTCGTACTGTGTGCCTGGCTTTAACTGGGAAAGAAATGATTGAATCTTCAAACATTTTGGAAAGAAAAATTAAAACCAAAAACTATTTGTAGTATTTCTTGTAAAATTTAGTTAGTCTTAAGAAAATTACAAAAATTAAAAATTTAAAAAAACCGACTTCAAAAACGTGCAGATGCCACATCTTAACCAAATTTATATGGGACCACCCCTGAGGTACCCCCTTACTAACAAAAAAAGAATCGTATAAATCGGACAAGGTGGTAAAGCATTATCGCTAAACATACATAAAAAATTAAGAGTTTGAGGATTTTCTCATGGATCCAATTATTAGATTTTGACAAAATTTATATGGGACCACCCCCACAGTAGCCCCTTTCTAACAAAAAAGAATTATTGAAATCGGACACCGTGTTAAAAAATTATCGCTGAACATACATAAAAAATGAAGAGTTTGAGGATTTTCTCATGGACCCAATTAATAGATTTTGACTAAATTTATATGGGACCACCCCTGAAGTAGCCCCTTTCTAACAAAAAAAGAATCATTGAAATCGGACACCGTGTTAAAGAATAATCGCTGAACATACATAAAAAAAAATATCGCGACGAATTGATAACCTCCTCCTTTTTTGAAGTCGGTTAATAAGGCCAAAAATGTTCATAATTTTCACTTTTTAATTAGATTTTCACGTTTTTATTGTTTTCATTTTTTTCCTACTGAACCCATGATTTCTCCATTTTAATGTTTGGCACATATTTTGCTAAAGCACTGATAAAAATTTTTTTTTTTCAAAAAAATCAAAAATTTTTTTTTCAAAATTTAAAAAAACATGAAAATAAACTTAGATCATGTGACACATCGTTGGAAAGGTGTTTGAATTACCTTTACAACGAGCTATATTTTATTGATCTACAATAAGTAGTTCTCAAGATATTCTAATTTTTGTGAAGTTGTGTTGGATTAAAATTGGTCAATTTTTCGATTTTTGAAAATAAATAAAAAAACTACTGATCAGAAAAAAAAATATATTTTGGATTTTTCATCCCACCCATATAGAGAATCAGTGTACCAAATTTTATCAAAATCGGTGAGATGGTCTGCCATACCTCTTTTTATTTTGGTTGATTTGATATGAAATTACCTCTTGAACGAAATAGCGCGTATAAAAAGAGCGTCAGTAAAAAAAACCACCAATTCGGCGTGGGAGCTCTTATAACACCTCAGTGTGCATAATGGATAATATATTACTTTTGTTAATAAAAATTTTAATCTGCAAAAATAAAACATTTGTTCATTTGACCCCTCAAGAAGCCCAGGCAGTAGGTTTCAAATCCAAACACAGTTGGCAAAATGTACCTACCTTACCAACCTTTTTTGTACTCCATAAAAAAAATAAGTTTTTTTTATATCTTCCCTTCCTTTCCCCCAGTATACTATGATAATGTTCATATTAAAAGTTTAAATAAGTACAAACTTACTTTTAAGAGTAGCTGATGAAAATGTGCTTATGCCAATCCCAGTAACAGCAGATTTCCAAGCACACAACAGCGTTAAAATCATCTTCAACCCATGATCCATCAACTGCGGAAACGTATCCAAAATTTCTTTAGCAACGAACTGAGTCAAACCCCAAAGCACGTCCTGCCTCCAATCTGGAAAGTCCACAACTAAACTCTGTAAACTGCAGTATGATAAGCCTCGTAATTCTTCATCCATGTGAACAGTAAGGCGACTTAGTAGATCAACTAATTCGGCACTGGTCATACCGTCGGGAATGAGCCTTGGAACGGCAGCTACGCAGGTCCTAAAAAGTTCTATCCTAGGTTTTCTTTCGCCTGTAATCATTTCGTCGGGTTCTTTATTGACGTTTTGCGTGTTGGTCATCATTAGAGGTCGGCCATATTGGGTATCCAGAGCTCTCAGTATATCCACAAACACTCTTCTTACATGTGGGAAATAGGCGTTCATTCCTATACTCCTGGCTGTATCTTCAGTCAACATTTTATTTAAAAACGTCTTGCGAACTCTTAAGGTATTTCCACTAGGTAAAACTCCAACAGACCTAGGCATGGGAGGATCGCCCTCTTTTTGTTGTAGACTATCTGCTACAACTAGAAAGGCTCTAAGACCGATGCTCATTCGTTCTGGTGTTAAAATAACCTTAAAAGGACGTGCTACTGAGAGTAGATCAAATACTATCTCGCGCATGGCAAAATCTAATCGTTCTTGAGCTATGAATTGGATTATTTTTACAAATATGTTTAGAGGCGTGTCTCTAGGGACAACACCTTTGGAACCTTTCGGAAATAATGAGTTTACAATGCTCTGGAGTCTGGATTGAGTAGCCGAGTTGCTTTCGCATTTTATTCTTATCATGTATACCCACAAGAGACGATACAGTGATTCTAAAATTAAATAATAAATCATTTTTTTATAGAAAACATATTTTTATTTATTCCTTACCTAAAGCGACCCGGCACATTTTCGGATCACGATTTTTCAAATGTGATAGACACATGGCTAGGAAATAGTGCCAGTTTTGAAGAAAAAATTGCTTCTGGCTTACACACAGTAGACAAGTTACTAATGGGAAAAGCGCTAAACGATGTTTAGATTTTGTGCTTGCATCTAAAGTTTGGGAATAGAGCATTTCTACAAAGTTTTTTAGGCAAGGTACATTTACTTCGTTTTTTACTGCCTAAAATATAGAAAAATGTCTTAAGATTAATAGGTAGGTAATATTTTTTTTAGTTAGACATTTACAAGGAAATAGCTTGGTGGATAACTGAAAGAAAGAGATGTGACTTAAAACGTTAACTTACTGCAGCAACAGGTACCAAAATTTCGACGAACAAACCAGCCAGAGCATGTTTTATATCCTTATCTTTAACTTCCAAAAAATACTGAGCACACTCTTGCATGAACTGAAAAGAAGCTTCAAATTCTTCGATGGGTACCATCTTGACACGGAAAAATTTCATGCCCATAAGTAAACTGATTATGCTCTGCGTAGTATTGGGACTGGATTCTCTGGATCTGAGATCTTTTAATTCGGCCATAAACCTCGTTCTGACCGACATAAAACGGGATTGGGCTAAAACTCCAATCACTTCCGCATACAAATCCGATATCATGTGAATGTTGGCACTGTTGGGGCTATTTTGGATACTAGAAGAATTAATACTTATTAAAACATTTGTGCTGGCATTTTAACAGATTAATTTGAAATATTTTAGAAGTAGTTCTATTAAAAAATGTTGAGCATTGTAGTATTGAATTTTTATAATTTTTACAAGTACCAGATGATAGTTTATCAAAAAATAAAGGTAAGTACTTGCTATCTATTTGATGTATAGGTTTCAGGTATTCAGAGACATGCATAGTATTAATTTTTTCGTCGAAAAGAAAGTGAAATATGAATATGAAAAATGTAAGAGACGAAAAAGTTGTAATTTTTGTTTCATTTAAAGCAATTATGAATTGTTTAAAAAATCTACTCGGTGATATTTTTTGTGCCGAAAAACTAACTGAATTACCCTCTAAGCACACCTCTGATATTACTGAATCAACTGTAACATGTCCGAAATATACCTCATAAAGTGTGAAAATATGATCCAGAAGCTCTACGAAGATATGAAGAACGTTTGAGAAATCCCCAATCTGCCATTCCAGAATATTTTAATGTGCCAAGCACAACCAGCCATGAAGCGCCATCTAGAGAGCAACCAATCTTGCAGCAGCAGACACCAGAACCGCGACCAAAACCAATAGCAGGGTCAAGTAACAGATGTGTATCATTTGAGGAATGATTGCTAGATACGATAAGACAATCCCCCACCCCAACGAAAAAGAAAGAAGAAAAATGGTGGCTCCGGGAGCTGAAATTATAACATCCAAAGAAAACATGGAAAAAAGAAAAAGTCTGAGCAAGAAAAAGAAGAGGAAAGAAAAGCGAAAGACGAAGCAAAGAAAGTAAATAAAGATTAAGCAAATAAAGCTAAAAATTTTAAGTGACAGTGAATCAGACGAAGCCACTTTTGAGGCTTATTCAAAAAACTTAGAGGAAGATGAGAATTCACTCAGAAAACCCTAAAGTTGGAAGATGGGTTCTGGTCTCATTTAAAGGAAAGAAAAGTATACGTATTGTAAACGACTTAATAGCAATAGAAAGGGAAGACAATAAAATATTAACAAAACATTTAAAACTAGCTCGTGTTAATACAACTGATAAGTCTTACATCAAGGGTAATAGATTGTTAACAATAATTCCTATAAAGCAAGTGAATTGCGCAACACTAATCTGGAACAACAGGAAGAGCCAAAAAGTAATAGTAACTCAGAAACTCCGACTGTACCAACTTTTTCAAAAAGCAGGAAGATTGGTTTTTGATGAAATTCAAAATTTTTCCAAAACAGGATATCCCAGGGAAACCTCCCGGAAAATAATAATATTAAGGAAATAAGTCCTAACAAGGTAACGGAAGAAAAAAAAAACAACGAAGAAAATAAATCAAAGAAAGAAGCACAAACTACAAGGACCGAAACACCAAGCAGAGGAGTTGGCAAAAACAAAGAAAGTATACTTAAACCAAGAACAAGACTAGGGAGCAAGAAATAGATTTTAAAACTTTATTGTTAAAAAGAAGCCACTTTTGATTATGGATCCATATATTAGAGACGTTAAATGAACCTTATCCAACAATTGAGTTTAAAGAACTAAAAGATATTAATAAACACTACAAAAGCCTAAATTCTAATCGTTTTAAAAACATTTCATCAAAATATACGTAAAACATACTGGCCATTCGTTTGCAAATTTTGCCACTTTGCCAACCACCTCTGCGCCAAACCACAACACAAATAGTTAATTAGGTCTTTGAGAGGGTTGTTAACGATGGCAAAAGGGTTCCAATTGTCCTGGGTGACAATTGGGTATTTTCACCGCGAGTAGCTCGAGCCGGAGAAGGGAGTAGTCCGTTTTAATTCTTAATTTTTTTTTAATGTCCGGAAGGCTTTCCTGTTTATAAAAGTGTAAGATGACACTCGATATCTGTTGATGTTATTGTTTAAACAACGAAAAATTAATTAAGCCAGAAAAAATGCATTTTTTGCAATGAATTAATTTTTTTTTATATTCTTTAGGATATTTCGAATAAAAAAGTCCTTACGCCCATCATCGTATCTTCAACCCTTTAATTGTTATGAAAATCCAAAATTGACGAAAATTCTAATTTTCTTGAATTAAATAATATACCTTAAAATTTAAAATGCTATAATTTTAAATTTTTTACCGAATATTCAAACTATAATAAACAAAATAACCTAAATAATTTTCAAAATTTTGTTTGTTGTGTATTTTCACTGATGCAATTCTAGAGTTGACCAAATGGGTTTAACAGTCGGTGGACAGTAATAAACCAAACCTAACTATTTTTCTGGATTCAATACTGTACATCACGAACAGTTATTGCTGGCCTTGGAAGATGCAGGAATACGGGGAACGGGATTAAAGCTTTTTGAAGACTACCTTAATAACCGATATCAACAAGTTAAAGTAAAAGATGAATTTAGCGAAAGCAAATTGATTAAAACTGGTGTACCACAAGGGACAGTCCTTGGTCCTGTACTATTTTCAATATATGTAAATGATTTGTATATTCAAAAGACTACAGGCCAAATTGTAAGTTTTGCTGATGACATGGCTATTTTTTACGAAGCAGATAGCTGGAAAGAATTAAAATATAAAACAGAAAATGACTTAGAAAAATTATAGATTGGTGCACTCATAAAAAGCTTACTATAAACTACAATAAATCATTTTTTTTGTCTTTTGCAAGCTATATATCGTCGCTGTTAGTGCAATAGGTAGTATGTCCAAAATTACGATTTTTCAGGACATAAGAAAATGGTTTTAATTTTTTATGTATTTCAGTTTTTTTTTTTTGGAATATGAGAAATTATTTTAATTAGCTCGGATATATTATATGACGTTAACCTTATTAGTTTATGATGACCCAAAGAGACTTTTTATAGACATAGGAGAAATGTCTTTCTTATAATGGTTACGTATTTTGACATGCGACATTTTAAGCTGATTAAAACCAAAGGAAAACAATGCTATACATACCAAGTAACTTGAAAAAATATTTATTTTAAGTAAAAAAAAAGTTAGATACAAAGTAAAATAATTAACCTCTTAAAATAACAAGACAAATCAATTATGCAACAAATTTTCATAAAATAGTCTGCAGTCGAGGGGAATGAACTCTTTAAGTTCTTGCAAATGAGCAAATTTAGAGGCTTCTATTGGACATGGACCATCATAAAGACGCTGATACTCGTCACTGCTTACAGATGCGCGTTGACGCTGAGGCAGATCTTTCCAGGCTTCCGAAAAGTTCAACTTGTAGGAAATTACACCATTTGGATCACAGTGGAGTGCGCAGATATCAGTTACCACTGGATCTCCGGGTTTTCGACCCGGTCTTATGCTTGAGTAAAATTTTGTTCCAAATTTAAAAAAATCGAGATGCGTTAATTCGAATACTTCGTAGGGAAAAGGATTTTGTCTGGCTTCTCTCATAATTCGCAAATAATCAGAAGGGAGGTAAATTTCTTTTCGACGACCCATTTTTCTTTCTATTAGACTATGAGTTGAGTCTACCTCCATCTGGGTATGTCCCACCCCCAGATACTTCTGCTCAATCTCAACTGAAAACTTTTTGGAAATATCAAGTAATGCATTGGACAATTTTACATTCCTATTTTGGTAGGAGCATCCGTCACTCCAAAAAATGATTTTTGAAGGACGATGCTTTTCAATTTGTTGATTAACAAATTTTGTAGCTATTGATGCAAAAACATCACTTTCAAGGCCGGCCTGTGCTTCGTGCCACACAAAACATGTAACTGCCTTTGTTTTCAAGTTGTAGTAAGTCCAGTTATGTACTTTTAACTTTGTTTTATAATAATTTGCTGCAGCATTCAGGCGGGGAGCTAAAAGAACTGCTTGAAGATCTACTGCAAAAGCTAAAATCTTTTCATTTTCCTGGCACTCTGTTTTGTCCTTCTCCTTTTCTTCACGGGCTTTTGACTTTCTAAGAACGTGCGCTTGAAAGGTTTCTTCTGCTACTGACCCATTTTTGTATCCCGAACAAGTATTACACTGGTCTTTCTTCGGTGTCCATATTTCCAAATTAAGCTTCTTAAATATTTTAAAAAAAGTAGTCCAGGATGCTGCCTTCTTGCCCTCTTCTTGTCGCTTCTCATTATATATTTTATAAACGTGTCTATAACTATCCCAAACAGGCTCCAAATAAAGCTTTGTACTGGAAGATCGGCAGTAATGGGACTCGACCTGTGGCAAACTTAAAAGAAATGCCTCCACATTTATAGAACAGCTTTCATTGTGTTGTAGTGATTCATTACTTGACTTGATGCCTTGGTTAGTATTGCTACTCTTCTCTGTAACCCAGTTTTGTACTGTTTTTTCTCCAATGTTCAATGTGGCTAGAAACATTGCTTTGCACACAAGTTTTCTGGATTTTGTATTCCCATTTGCAGCAAGTTCCTGATTATTTACTATTAGGTGGTATTTCAATGTAAACCTTTTAAGTTTTTCTTTATTTGTTGCCGTGCGTCTATATTTAGGTGTTACTGGAACAACTAGTCCTTTTACAAATGACTTCTTTGCTTCCCAAGAATTTAGTTTCCAAAACTCTTCAAACAAATATTCTCTTTGAACATCAGATATATCACTGCATTGAAACCCTTGCCGTGGTCCACCTTTCCCGCTTTTTGCAAGTTTTTGATAATGGCCACTGCACTTATTCCCTATTCTTCGCATTTCTTTCGATGTATTTTGCTTATAAACTCCGGATTTGTCTTTTTTAAACCCTGTATAGGCTTTTCCATGAAGTCTTAATTCGGCTTGCTTACTTCTTTTCCATAACTTGGGATTACCTTGGCCTTTACTTTTTCTTTTATTCCCCTTTCGACCATCTACATTTGAATCAGTAGGTATATTGTCAGTCTCCTTTTGGGTAGGGCGTTGTCTGTTAGGGTCTTCACCGTCACAAGAGGTAGATTCATTTGACATGTTACTTATATTTTCAGATTCGGTATCTTCTTTTTCCGATGGCTGGTACTCTGATCCAGAATCTTCAAAA